AAAATATTTGATTTACAAATAAGGAATCCTACTTCGTGGAATTTCATTTATCACGGTAGGGTCTAGAACCGATTAACAGCGATAAACGAGGGTTCACTGTATTCACAGAAGGGGCTGAGATGAAAAGTTATGGCCCATTGCAAAGAACCATTGACTAGCATATACACCAGACTTTATATGCAGTGTTCTCAAATAGAAATAGCTATTTTTGCCTTTAGTGTTAAATTTAGGACCTAATCTCTACAAAGTAAGTGACACCATTGAGTGTGTGTGTGTGTGTGTATATATATATATATATATACATATATATATAAAATATATATGAGGGGCTGCTCACTAAAAAACGGCAAAAAGCTGTCCTGGGCAGAGCTTTTATACTATGCATTTTTCCTGCTAGGTGAGCATCGAGCAACGTCTCTGAGCTGGTGTACCCAGTGGCATCACCTGGGAAAAGGTCTCTTTGGCCACAGTGAATTTTTGCATGAAAGCAGTTTTGTCTGAACCTCATTTTTTTGTAATGGCCTATTTAAGAGAACTGTGCACCTGTGAAATTTTGTCTTCTGCTTGAGGAACAATGCCGCAGAAACTGTTGTGCTGTTGAACACAGCTTATAAGGACAGCGCTGTGGGAAAAACTCAAGTGTATGAGTGGTTTTCTCATTTCAAAAAAGGTGAAATGTCAATTGATGACAAACCTCGTTCTAATGTCTGTTAACTTCCTGGGCAAACAAAAATGTTGACTCATAGTGCATTTGGAGTTCATTCTACCAGGTCAGACTGTTAATCAAGTTTTCCACTTGGAGGTTCTGAAAACATTGTTTAACAGTGTGTAACCTAAAAGGCCTGATTTGTGGCAGATGGGGTAATGGTTTTACCACCATGACAATGCACCGGCTCACGAGCACCAGTTTTTGGCAAAAAACAGCATGCCTCTCTTGCCCCATGTACCATATTCACCTTATCTCGCTCTGTGTGACTTTTTTTTTGGTTTCCACAAATGAAGAGGTACATGAAAGGACAGGGATTTGATGAAGAAAAAAATGAGGGAGTTGCTTTCAGCCATCCAAACAGATGAGTTTGAAAATGTTTCCAAGAATGGAATCACAGATTTGACAAATGTATTAAGTGTAATGGAGAGTACTTTGAAGGTGATACAGTTGTTTTGTAAAAAAAAAAAAAAAAATTTTAAATACATAGCTTTGGGAAAAATTAAGAATTTCGTGGGTTTTGGGGGATACCCCGGCATATGTTTTTTTAATTTTTTAATTTTTTTTATTTATTTTTTTTCCCGGCATATGTTTTTGTCAAAATCAAATATGATTAAAAGTTCAGTCTGCCCTTTCACATTACACACAACATCAAGAATTGATTCTCAGCCAGTAATCACAAACTCAAAAATTATTTCTGTTTGGCCTAAAACCTTTTTCTTCCCTCCTTCCTCTCGGTCTTCCTTTTTCTTTGAACTAGCCATTATTTTAATGATTGCTGTCATTTTAATGAGTGTGTACTTTTGGGGTGTGAAGTTTGATAATTACTTAAAAATTAGTAACCATATTTCACTTTGGAAATAAGCCTTTAAGGTTGGTTAACAAAATGTCTCTCTTCTGTAGCTTTGATAGTTATTTATTGTATTGTCACCAAATTATTCAACATTTATCTTATCAATATATAGCCACAACAAACTGAAAATACTCCCGGAAGAAATCACAAGTCTAAGAAACCTGAAGAGCCTGTATCTCCAGCATAATGAACTGACATGCATACCAGAAGGATTTGAAGAACTCAATTTGGAAGATTTAGTAAGTTGTGGTTTTCCAAGTTTTGTATCATTTGGGCCTGGTAGGGTTTTACAATAGGCTGAGAAATCAAATGATGAGAAATTGGACAGATGATCAAAAACTTCACTTGAATTTGATTGGTAAATTAACAGTTGGAAACTTAGTTTTATCAAATAAACTTGTTTATTTCAGGAATTGAGTTAGAAAACAAATGAATGGGGATGACTGTGTTATTCAAAGTCTTTTACAGCCCGCAGAGTAGAGGAGGTTGCCTTTAGTAGATAGCAGTTCTCCTTTTTATCCTATTTATACTCACTCTCTTATAGCATATGAGTGTTCTGACCATCCCTCCAAAGAATGTCTTTTCTTCCCTTCCCTTCCCAAATGGCCACTTTTCCTAACAAAATTTACATTTTGTTTTACTCAGCCATAACTGCAAAACAATAAAGATACCATTTGAATCCTATTATTAAGCATAATAGGAGCTCTAATGGTGAGTAAGTGCTGGCCTAACTGGAGGGTTGGGGTTTGCACCCATCAGCCACTTTGCCAGGGAAAGATGTGCTAGTCTGATTCATAAAGATTACACTCCTAAAACTGCTCTTTTCTGTCCTATGGTTTTGAGTCAGAATCTAGTTAATGCTCTGTCATATGAGTCAGAATCTATGTAATACTGCCAGGTATTAATAGAATCAATTGATAACTTTAAATTATGCTTCATGCATCACAAGTAGTTTTTATCTCCTATATATCAGAAACTCAGGCGTAAAGAAGAAAATAAGTTAGAAAGACATGTACAATGAAGTAAATTATTTAATATGGCTCTTCTAGCCATAATCTTAGTTACTCCCATGAAATGACTTTTTCCTGATAGGTCTGGGTAAAAGAAGGGTAGGGGAAGACACTGATCGGATTCAGTTGTAGTGAATAATAACAATATTAATTGTGACTGCCATCCTGTTGTGTATAAAATGAGCCATCTCAGAAGCAGGACATGGGGCATTCTAACCATTAATAGCAAAAGAGACTAGGCAGGAGTGGAGTGAATCCTTGGACCCAAGATCCTTGCACATTGAACTTTCTTCATCTAATACAGAGCTGTGACCGCATAGGAGTGACAGCAGCAGGACCAAGAGCCAGAGCAATGGACTTCCCAGTCCAAGTGCAAGCAAGGCTGAGTGACTTTGGGCAGGAGACCGGCTTATGTTATTCATTAAGTAGTAAATTTTTAACAATTATTTGTAATTCTCTGGTTATGTAGATGTAAAGGAGAGATTATTAAAATTTATCTTTTTAAAGGGTCTTAAGAATTTCTAAGTTATTTTTATCTTTTCAAATAACTTTAAAATATTTTATTTTTTAATTCTTTTAGATTTGCAGCAAAGTGATAAAGATACTCTCATATCCTTCACCCAGTTTCCTTGTAATGTTAACATTTTACTTAACATGGTACATTTGCAAAAATTAAGAAATTAACATTAGCGTTATACTATTAACTGTAGATTTTATTTTCAGTTTTTCCACCGATCTTTTGTTCCAGGATCTAATCTATGATACTACATTGCATTTAATGTCAGTAACTTTTGATGTAAGAAATTTCTTAGTTGTATGTTGATTAAAGCTTTAGGCTGTCCTTCTAGCATTACTTATGTGCTACATTAGATAATTTATTGCTATGGCCACACATAACTCTGACCATACTCACAATTATGAGGGCTTAATAGGGGAGTTAATAGTGTGCCACAGCCAGAATTAGTAAACAGTAAGGATACAATAGTTGACTCATAGTAACACCTCTCCTCAGCCAAATTTCCAGTCCTCAGCCTTCAGCTGAAGGCTTCTTGGCTTCTGCCTCTGGGGTCAGGAAGCCAGCTCTGCCTCAGACCCAGAGTCTCAGTGCCTCTCCTCTGTTCTGTCTCATGGTTTCCTTGCCATGGTCTCTGGTCTTAGCCTGACTCTTTTGTACTATCCCATAGTGTCTATGCCATAGTCTGGTGTCAGCCTCTGACACTGCCACAGGCATCTTGAATGTGCTCTTCCGATGGGCCTGTATCTGAGATGCTCTTAAACACAGAAGAATGACTTTGATGGAAGCGTGGGTGGTTTTTGTCTTTTAGCAGACCATACTCCCAAGGAAACAAAGTGTGTAACTTTATTAAAACCCTCTAATAAGACTATTACTTAATCCTACCCTATTCCTGTCTGTTAGTATAGCAGAGAGCTCCTTCCAAAATGGGACAATAACTATCAATAAAGTCCAGAATTTTAATGTATCACTTAAAAATTATGGCTAGGAGGGTTAATTGAGTATAAGTAAAGACCAATTACCCTTGCAGTGTTGTACATTATGACTAAGATAGGAGTATGCCCTTTTGAAAAATGAGTTGACTTAATATTTTTACATTTTTTCTATCTTCTCAATGTATTCAAAGCTATATAGAGTGCAATTGTTTAATATTAGACCAAATGAAAGTCTTTAGGAAACTATTCCTTCAAGTATTTTTTCCCCTTATTGTTGCCACTGGCCCTACCTAATATTTTCTGTAATTAATGGAGTACTTTATCTAATTAGGATATCATTAAAAAATTATCTATTAGTTACTTATGTGAATAATAGCTGATATAATACTACTTTGCAAAATATGAAGATAACTTATATTCCCACTTTGCAACTCTTTATTCTACAACCAGCTACCCATGAGGCATTCTCTCTGACTCTCCAACCCTGAGTTTGGTCTCCACAACTCAGGACTCTTTTCTTCCAGCCCCTGCCAAATGAATAAACTCCAGATTTTTGGCTGGCTATTATTGCCACCAATAGATTTCATAATGTGCTAGAATGACTCACAAAACTCATGGAAATTATTACCTCTACTTACCCATTTATTATATTTGGAAAGGATACAAATGTAGAGACATATCAGGCAAGGTCTGGGTGAACTCCTGACAAGAGGCTTCCGTTGTCCCTAGCTATCTTTTCATGGATGTCCGGAAACCAGTCGTTCATGCCATGCCACTCTACTTCTCTGGCTGCGTTTGATAATTCATTATACTGGCCACATAGCTTACAGACAGTAGTCACAATTTGGAAGCTGTATTAGGAAAGTTAACAAGTTACTACTATTACCCAGGATCAGAAAACAGCAAGGCTACAGTCTTTGGTTCAGAGTACACTTCTTGTGGCCTACCTATATTTAAGTTGGAATCAAATTGATGACAGCAGATAACAGTAGTGTATCATTACTGTTTTAAAATCTTGACAGAAAGCAAAGATTACTAGAGATAGAAAGATACTAAATTATGGATAACATTATCAGGAATGAGAATTTTGGAACTATGTTCATGTAGAGCCTGTGCAGAGTAAAAGAATATTTTGTAGTTTAAAATCAGGTATGTCCGGGTTTTTATTTATTTATATATATATATATATATATTTTTTTTTTTAATCTTATTCAGTTTTATACTGAACAAATAATTCAAGAAGCTGGACTATATAAAGAAGAATGCAATAGCACGATTGGAGGAAGACTCATTAACAACCTGCAATATCCAGATGACACAGCCTTGCTTGCTGAAAACAAAGGGTTTAAAGCATTTTTCAAATGAATGGCAAAAACTGCAGGCTTTATTTTACATAAAAACTCAAGGGAAGGGAGGAATAAAAAAGAGAAGCTGATACCAAGAGGTCAAATAGAAAGTAAATGTTTAGAAAATAATGATGGCAACATATGTACAAATATTGTTATAAGAGCTCTAAGAACCACCAATAAAATGATCTTTTAGAAAAAAAGAAAATAAAAAATACAACTGGACCAATATATTTTACTTAGATTTTTCATCAGTGCTCATGGAAGCAGTGGTAAAGAAATCAAACAACATATTGCATAGGGCAAATCTGCTGCAAAAGACCTTTTTGAAGTATTAAAGAGAAAAGATGTCTGTCACTTTGGATAAGGTATATGTGACCAGAACCATGGCATTTTCCTCATATGAATGTGAATGTGAAAGCTGGACAATGAATAAAGGTTTGGCTGAAGAAGAATGGCTATATTTTGAATTATGGTGTTGGCAAAGAGTATTGACTATACACCATGGCGTGTCAGTGAGATAAACAAATCTGTCTTAAAAGACGTACAACCAGAATAAGCCTTAGACGTGAGGAGGTGAGACTTTGTCTCAGATACTCTGGATGTATCATTGAGAGGGACAAGCTCCTGGAGAAGACATTATACTTGCTAAAGTTAGAGGATCAGCAGAAAAGAGGAAGACCTTCATTGAAATGGTTTGACACCTTGATCAAGGGCTCATGAGGGAGTGTGGAGCGGGGAGGGAGGGGAAAAAGGAGGACCTGATGCCAGGGGCTTAAGTGGAGAGCAAATGTTTTGAGAATGATGAGGGCAATGAATGTACAAATGTGCTTTACACAATTCATGTATGTATGGATTGTGATAAGAGTTGTATGAGCCGTAATAAAACTATTAAAAATAAATAAATAACTAAAAAAAAAGAAAAGAAATGGTTTGACACAATGCTTGCAACAGTGGGCTCAAATGTAGCAATAATTGGCAAGATGGCACAAGACAAGATAGTTTTTTTTTTCCCATTGTACATATGAGTTGGAACTGACTGAACAATACCTAACAGCAAAAATAAAAGCTTTGGAAGCCCAAGGCACGATACAACATGATTTAGTATTAACAGAAACCTTCATATAAAATATTTTCTGAAGTCAGAATGCAGTCTAATCCCTCATGTACTTTTTGGTTGCACAGTGAGCAAAAAGTGTTAAAAACTATATTTGTTAAAAACTATATTGAGATTAATGATCATGAACTTGTCAATGAATGAGAGTTATAAAACTCATCAACTCTGAAATAATTTTTTATTGTTGTAATTTCTTCAAAGTTCTGAAATGTAAAATACCCTTTAGATAGATAGATAGCTCTCTTCCAGGTGAAGATACAACAGTAAACCATTGCTAAATCTTATCTTGTATCGTCTTCATGACTGCTGGTATTCATGAGTCCATTGTACTCACTGCAGCATTCTTTCTCACTGAGGGGTCTCCCTTGTCCTCCTTGGCCCTATACTCTAGGAACCAAGATGTCCTTGAGCGAATAATCCCTCCTGATGATCTATGCAATGCAAGTGAGTCCGTGTTCTGTAGTGAGCAATAGGTTTGCATTGACTGATCCTCAGAAGTAGTTTGTCAGATCTTTCTCTCCAGTCTGGTTGCCTGGAAGCTCCACTGAGACCTATTTACCACAGGTGACTGCTGGGAGTTGACACCAGCAGCATAGCTTCCAGCATCTCTGTGATATGCAAGCCACTAAAGTATAACAAACGGACATACTTGTAGAGGAAAATACCTGTTATGGACCATTTATTTATTATCATTCATTCATTGTTTCTCTTTTTGTCAAGGATCTTTCCAACAATCGTCTTACGAGTGTTCCTGCGAGATTTTCTTCTTTATCCAGTCTGGTGCGGCTCAATCTTTCCAGTAATCAACTGAAGAGCTTGCCAGCAGAAATGAGTAGAATGAAAAGTAAATCGTCTCTAGTTTTAAAAATAATGTGTAGATTTGAACTTGTTACTACTTAACATTTAGAGAAATATCAATATCACTAGTTATAGAGAAGTAAAATAATTGATTTTATGGTGCCACGTACAAACAGTAGATTTTTTTTCCCCAGGCCATTACTATTTTGCAACCACCTCCAAACATCAACAGCAAAATGGTACCTTAGCATATCAAAAGAAAACAAGATTATGAACTGTCATAAAATTGTATACCTGAAAAATTTAAGGTTTTGAAGCAGCCTTTTTTGTTCTCACCCATATACACTAATAGATCCCCACCCCCCACCATCATAGCAATAGTTTCCTTGTGGTTCATTGCATTGATGGGAAGAAACTGGCTTGTTTTGCTTGAGGGCCAAAATTATCAATACTTAAAAAAAAGAGAGATCAGTGTCAATATTTAGAGATTCTATTAAAATTTATCACTAAAGTCTCATATCTAAATTATTTTAGAACCTGATATTAAGCGTTGAAAAAAGTTAAGATATATTTCAGTATTCGTTAAATAAATACACTTCATCATTTTAGATTTCTTAAGAGTCCTAAATAATGTGGGGTTTCTCTTTATGTAAAGGCAAACTATTATTATTTCTTTGTCTTTGGCTATACTCTGTGCCAGCTGTAAACTATTTTGGTAGTACTGGGGGTTAGGCAAGTCCTGCCTGGCATCGTGCTTTACACTGCTGGTCTCAAGAGCAATAGTTAGAAACCACCAGCTGCTCAGAGGGAGGAAATGAGGTTTTCTACTCCCATAAAGATTTACCATCTCAGAAACCCCCAGGGGCAGTTCTACTCTGTCCTACAAGATTGCAATGAGTTGGAATGGACTCGATGACAGTGAGTTTTTGAGTGGTTTAGGCAGTGGACTTCTAACTTTAAGGTTGACAGTTTAAACTTATCAGCTGCTCCGCAAGAAAAAGATGATGCTGTCTGTTTCATAAAGATTTACAGTTTTGGAAAGCCTATCTAGGATCATTATGACTTGGAATCGATTAGATAGCAGTGGGTTTAGTTTTTATTTATTTTTGCTAATCATATATAAGGCCTTTAATTTTTTTAGACTTTTTTTGTAGAGACGGTTATAGAAGTGATTTTCTACAGTTGTGTATAGATTATCTTAAGGTGAAAATGTAAAATTGTGTAGTTTCACTTTAGATTAACAGCAAGTTGTTATTTAGGAGTATATTAGATCTTTCATAAAGTAATTTTGTATTTTGAGGGGCCTTTACCCAGATACCAGCAATTAAAGCTCTACTTGTCTTTACTAGTTTTCAATAAAGGAATTGAAGTCGAGCTACACATAAAGCTTGCTATCTGCAATGGAGATAACATTTGAAGGCATACTTTAAACAAAATAGAGCAATAATTTCACGAGAGGGGAAAAAAAACAGGGAAATCAATAAGAAATACTTTGAACATTTTTTAAGGAATACTTACAGTAATTTTTCAAATATACTATATAATTATATATATAATTATACTTTCTGTACCTCAACCATGAGTGATCGTTTTAAGCTCTCACCAGTAGGACATTTATTTGTTATTTCACTACTAATGAGTAGGTCCTAGGAACAATGTCCTTTATTTGTATGGTCACTTATGACAAAAAATTTTTGTGTGTATGTTATTTTACCACAACAGTTCTAAGAGGTTGATGGAATCCATATTACTTAAATTTTGAAGATCTACAAACCTAAGCTTCGGAAAATTAGACAGTAAATTTTAGAGCTGGGTCTTGAATACTTTTACAATAGTCCCACGACTCCTTCCATGAGGTATTGCTTGTATTCTTAGCCACTGCTCTTCAACGCAAATAATTGCGAAAGTTACAGTTTCTAACTTTATAATGAATCTCTATAAAATTTGCTGGATTTGGAGTTGGTCAGATCATGGCATTTTTTCCAGTACTCTACACAAATTATGTTATGTTATTAGTTGAATGCTGCTGCATTTGTTTTGGGGTCAGCAAATTCAGCTATTAAACAAAACAGGGTAAAGCAGTGTGAGGATCTGTCAAACAGTGTTGGTACAAAACTAGAAACCTTTTGTATTAGTCTGGGTATTTTAGAGAAACAAATCCACAGAAACTCATGTATAAGAGAGAGTTTTATATAAAAGGTAAGTGTGCATCAAGAAAACATCCCAGCCCAGTGCTGCCCAAGCCCACAAGTCCAACATTAACCCATTAACCCATATGTCCAACACCAATCCACACAGTCCTCCTCCATCTCACAAAGCAGACGCAACTGCAGGAGGAAAGCTGAGTCAGTGAACGTGTAAACATCTCAGCGCTGGCAGGGGTCTCCACACAGCTGCTCCAGCACCCAGGGCTGCATCAGGGTAGCTCCATGTGGCTTCTCCTTGGGGATGGCTTGCAGGAAGTGAGCATTGCAATCTGAAGCAGGGAACTGCTAGGCAGCTGCACACTGGTGCGACCATCACAAAGCAAGAGACCCGAGAACTAGAAAGGCAGGCTCACCGAGCCATTTATCCCCCTGACCTTCAATTAACCCCACATGTGTGTATAGGCCAGGTTGGCACAATGAACTAACTAACTCACCTTTATTAAGCAAAAATGTCCAATGTGAAGCTGTTTTTTCCAGACATGTCCTCCATCATATAAACTCTGAAGGCAGTGTTTCCATCTTTCCAAACCCTCCTGTGAAGAATTCTGTGCTCTGTTCTTCGAACAGTAGATACCACAGCAGAAAGGGGTTTGGGGTTCTTAGGGAGCACAAAATGTATTTCTTTTAGTCATTCTTTGAGTTATGTCAATAAAAAATTTGAAAGGACAAGATCAGAGCTATAGGGTGGATGGTGTAATGTTTCCCAACCAAATTCACATAAGCCAGCTCTTGCTATCCTGGTAAAATAAGCAGAAGCATCATCATGATAGAAAAATTCTTTGTCTCAACTGACTTGTCCATTTTCTTACACATGCAGTTTTCTTAAATATTTTCATAATAATTCCCCGTGATCATCTGTGCCATCTGTGGAAATCTATCAAGATCATTCCTCTGGAATCCCCCAAATAGTCACCATACTTCTGAGTGAACTTCTCTGCCTTGGATTTAAATGCCCATCAGACCCTCACAGAAGCCATTGTGTTGACTGGATTTTGCTCTCTAGATCAAATTGGTAAACTTAAGATTCCCCCCAAGTTTTGATTATTCCCTAAAACTGGCTTCATTAGCTTCTATCTTGCTTAAAAGACTGATGGGAAAGTCAGTTGTATGAGCTAGCTTCACGTAGCACGTTTGGCGGTCATTGAACTGAAAGCTTACTGAATCTATTCTGTTTGTTTAAAATGGAAAATACTGAATCATGCGAGAGCCCAGCTTCAGAAGCCATGCATCATCAGTGTTCTACAATCTTCCACTAATTTCTGGACTTTAGCCATAATTTCTTCATTTCTTAAGGTTGAAAATCTTTGCTCTCTCAGCTCATCTTTTGAGTTCTTCCTAACCGTCCTTAAAATACTTGCCCCTTTTAAAAACTGGTGCTTTATGTGAGGCAGCATTCCTATGACTTTTTGGCAAATTTTCAATGATTTGGGATGATGCTTACTAGAGCTTTCTTAATTTTCTATTACCCCTGAACCTAAAATCTGTTTGTTTTTTCCCCCATGGCCAAAAAGTATCATTCATGCACCCTAATGATGCTGACAAGTTTATTATTGAAAAAAAACTTATCTGTAGCCATACTTTGATCACAGAGGTTTTCTTTGAAATAATCTCTCACATATGTTTGAACCAGAATTCAAGTCGAAATACTTTCTGACTTACCTTCAGATATTAACACTCTTAAATTATGCTACAGTTGACAAACTTAAAGTATATTGTTGTTAGGTGTTATTGATTTGGTTCTAACCCAGAGTGATCCTATTTATGTGCCACAGAACAAAACACTTCTGGATCCTCCACCGTCTTCACAATTCTTGCCATGTTTGCTGCGGCCATTATATCAATCTGCCTTGTTGAGAGCCTTCCTCTTTTTTACTACCCCTCTACTTTACCAAGCATGATGTCCTTTTTCAGGGCCAGCCTTTTACCATTAACATGCCCAAAGTAGATCAGTGTATTTCGTCATTCTTGCTTCTACGGAGCATTCTGGCAGTATTCCTCCAAGATCTTGTTCTTTTGGCAGTCCATGGTGCTCTCAATTTTCTTCACCAGCACCGCAATGCAAATGCATGGATTCTTCTTTGGTCTTCTTTATTCCATGTGAAACTTTTACATGCATATGAGGCAATTGCAAATACCATTATTAGTTGGACTCCAGTCAACTGCATTGGATTTGGTACATGGATGGAAAATGAAGGAATCTGTAATTTGGATTATGGAGAAAACCGCATATTGAAATCAAAAGGGAAATAATTTCTGTATTCTTCATTTTGTGTTCTGACTTTCTTTAATAAAAATGTAGGAGGTGAGAGAATGATGGTGTAAGTAAGGGCATTCTACTTGAGTTATAGTGGATGTTCTTGTCAAAATTGTTGACTAGAGGCATTAAAGAAAGCATTTAGTTTAAAAAGGGATGTAAATGGAATGGAATATATGTAAAAATTCAACACTTTTTGACAGAATCAACTTGCCAAGAAATACTGATGTTTCTAAGTCACTAATAGTTACTTGACATTCATTTATACAGTAAGTGTGCATGAATGTCTATATGTCTCCAATTGCATTATAATTTTTCGTTTTAAAGATGAGTAATACCTGAGGGAAGTAGTAGTATCTCCTAGAACACAGTATGTACATTTCTGAGTACTTTAACAGGGTACTGGAGTACTTGATATTTCCATCTATAAAGATAACCTGGCCTATTACTAAATATTAACTGTAATATAATTAGTTTGATTTAAGTATAATTAAGTGTAAAAGCACTTAGTTTACATGTGTTAAGTTTGATGGTATTCTACTAGTTCTGATTAATGTAGCACTAATGATGAAATAGGTTTATATGTTCTCCTGGTGATTACTTAGACATTCTTTGAAAGTATTTTGACCATCAGCCATTATTTTTTCTATGTTAAAGTATTTTTATTTTCCATTACATATTACAGGATTAAAGCATTTAGATTGCAATTCGAATCTCCTGGAAACGATACCTTCTGAATTGGCTAGCATGGAATCATTAGAATTACTTTATTTGCGGAGGAATAAATTGCGTTCCCTGCCAGAATTTCCTACTTGTAGATTACTGAAGGTACTATTGAGATGATAATTAAGTTACTATATATTCCCCAAAGTTAATTATGAAAATGATGTCTGTAAAGCCTTATAAAACTAATCTTATTTTAGTTTGGGAATATGTATTAGTTACAAGAATTGTACTTTTCTTTTAATATTTTTAAGTATTATGAGTAATGACATTAACAGCACTTTCAGTAGTTGAGATTTTTAAAAAGTAGTTACCTTAAGAATAAGAGTTTGTCCATTTATTCTGATAAGTAGTGGACAGATGAAGAACTTTCAGATGATAAACTAAAATGAGGGCCATACAGTAGGGGACCTGAACACAAATAAGGACCTTGTATCTAATTGTAGTGTAAATATCCACCGTTTTCATGTAACTGATCATAAACAGGTCTGGTTAAAATCAATTTCTTATGGTTTTGTGTATAGAGCACTAATATTTTCTTCTAATTTTACTTTTTTCATGTATATGTATGCATCATTGTGTTTTAAAAGAATCTCTTTTAAACAGAATGATAAGTGATAGAATTGACTAAGTTACATTTACATTGTTAATTATCAGTCTAATAATTACAGATTCTGTTAGTAGGAAATCAGCATATATCGTATTCAGTAACAAATAAAAATGTTAAATAAGAAATTAATCATAGTATAAAATAACTTTAAAAATCAATAGTGATTTCTCTTTAACTCTAATTTTTCATGAAAAATAGTTCTTAGATTTGTAATTTTTTAAGTTCTACAAATGACTACTAAATAAATTGCCCTCAATGCCATGGTTTTTAAGTTTGATGTTTCAACCACATGAAATGTTCAATGGTTTCCAAATTGCTAAAAATTCCATGTGTGTGTGTGTGTGTGTGTGTGAGTGTGTTTGTGCACAATCCCATCTGTTTTCAGCTGTAAGTAGCTTAAATGAAACTGATAATTTAAGCACATTTGTATTTAGAAAGTTATGGGAATTTTTCTATATGTTTTCTATGATTTGAAATGTTTATTACCTGGTATAATGTTGCATACAGAAATATATAAAGTTGATCTTTGGTTTTGTAGGAATTGCACGTTGGTGAAAACCAGATTGAAATGTTAGGTGCGGAACACCTTAAGCATCTGAATTCTATCCTTGTGCTAGACCTGAGGGATAACAAGTTAAAATCTGTTCCAGATGAAATTACACTGCTAGAATCTTTGGAAAGGCTTGACTTAAGCAACAATGATATTAGTAGGTAAGTTTAAAGCTCATATAAATAAGAAGTAATACCTGAATTTGGTTATGGTTCATAAGTTAAAATAGTTTTAAAAAACAAGCAGAGATTTTTTAATTGATCCAATAACTGTGTTGTACAGATATAAAGAGATTAATTTGATTTTATCCTTGAGAGCAAAAGATTACTTAGATGTTGTCTTTGTTAGCAAGCTTCATCTGCTAAATGTGTCAGCTATATTTATAAGTTACTTTAGACCACTAGAGCATAAGCTCTAGGAGGGAAAATTTTTTATGTGTTTTGACTTTTCCATCTCCGTCTGTTAGGTCAGTACCTGGTCCATAAGAGTTACTTGAATTTGTGAAATTATGTAAGCCATAAAGAGATGTAAAATGGTTGGGGATTTCATAGATGAAGTGACATTTTAGATCATCGTCTGGGCTGGGAAAGCGTTACTCGCACAGTCTTCTAATACTCCAGTCCCCATCATGGCAACCATTAAAATATGATCAGGATTTGCAAATGCAAAGGGAAGGTGGTTAAAGATGATCTATTCAATCCTCCTTACATGAAGAGTCAACACAAACAAAGCTTAGTAAGTTCAGAAAGTTGCAGAATATATTATGAGAAGAGCAAGCAATTTGGTTGAGCTGTAAATAAGGTGTCAGTAGGGACGGTGTGGAAATATAGGGCTTGGAAGATAAGTTGAGGTCAGGTGCAAGAGATCCTTGGAATGCCCATGGAGACAGTTTGCATTAGATAAGACGCAGGGAGCTTTTGGAAGATTGTGAACAGAGCCAACTTGATTATTTTCTCATTTAAAACAAAAGTCTGGTGATAATGGATTTGCATATATTGGATAAGAATGGTTTTATAGGTGGGAAATATAAGTAAATATTAGATTGATCTAATAAGATTTATCATTGTAATCCACTTTATAGATTTATCTCATATATAATGAGGTCCTGTAGTGACAGATGAAAAGAAGGGGCAGATGTGAGAGGTATAATGGCTTAGAACAGCACAGTTCTCAACCTTGGGTCGCAACCCCTTTGGGGGTGTCGAAGGACCCAAGGGTCGCCTAAACCATAGGAAAACATATTTCCCATGGTCTTAGGAACTGAGACACCGCTCCTCTGTCCATCTCTAGGCAAGTCATCCCACTTGCAGATGCACCCACATATGAGTACCCGGCCACATATAAGTACTATGCTACACCATGCTTCAAGACAAACTTTCATTTATTTGTAATTGAAAATAAATATTTCACAATATATAATTACATATTGTTTTCGTGATTAATCACTATGATTTACGTTCGGTTTGTAACAATGAAAATGCTTCCTGCATATCAGATATTTACATTACGGTTCATAACTAGCAAAATTAGAGTTATAAAGAAGCAAAAAATAATTTTATGATTGAGGATCACTACAACATGAGGAGCTGCATTAAAGGGTCACGGCTTTAGGAAGGTTGAGAACCACTGTTTTAGAATAAGCAGCATGTAGCAACTGACTGGCTATGTTGCAGATTGGGAGAAGGAAAGTGGTAATCAAAGAATAAAAAATTACGTAGCCATGCTGTTTAAAGAGAAAACTAGAGTTGACCTTTTAACAACATGGATCTGAACTGCCTAGACCACACAGATTTTTCTTTTTAAAAAAACGTGTGATACTTGTTTCCATATGAGCAGTTTGTCCATCTAGTATATTGTGTATCATAGCAAAACTGACCCCTCATATCTCACTGTGTTTTGTACAATACCATAAGCCTCGAGTAACACCTCAGGCCCCATACTAAGTGCTACTAAGTGGTTCTGGAAGTGCTTTTAAGAAGCAGAAAAAAGTCATAACATTAAAAGTTGGATAGCTTGATATGTACTGTAGATTGAGCCTGCAGCTGTGGTTGCTTACTACCTTTCAAGATAAATGAATCTAGTAAAAGGTCCATTATAAAAACAACAATACAACCCTCCCTCCCACAAGACATTCATGAGGTTGTTGCTGCAGCTATACCAGCAGGTGTGAAAACCTTGCAATTTTTGTGAAATACCTTTTTATTTAGTATTGAAAATGCTACTTGAAATAGTTACATTGGAAATTTTTTGTTATCTTTTAATTCTATTTTCCCAGAGTCTTTTCTGAAACAATCTTGTTTGTCAAATATATGTCCATTGTTCTCGTTTTATTGGTAAGGTTTTCAGTCAGCAATAGTTTTAGGAGAGTCAGAAGTGATATAGGGATTTTCAACTGTACTTGGGATCACCATCCCTATTGTTTTTTAAATCTTTTTATTGGGGGCTCGTACAACTCTTATCACAATCCATGCATACATCTGTTGTGTCAAGCACATTTATACATTTGTTGCCATCATCATTCTCAAATCTCTTGCACTATTTAAGGGTCAACTGTGCTTACAGATAAAAAAATAAAATTTAGACTTACCCAGGTTATATAACAATTAGTTGTAACAGATTTTTAGCTTGGATGCCAGAAAAGTAGGGTATTATTCACAGAAAAAGAAAATTTAAGGCATATTTTTTTCTATGTGTATTTGTATTTTTTAAAGGAGAATGGCTTTCACTGTGTACACATTGTATATTTTATGCTTTGTTCATGGATAGGAATATCCTGATAGCAACCACTCTTTTCATTTATGTAACTGTATGAGTTATTGACCTGGCTATTCCCCAAACTGCTGCATCATACAAGTAATGAATGAAATACTTTCTTGCCTGTTATGAATATTTACATACAAAATTTCACTTCATGTAAGATTTATTAAAACACGCATTTCTGATAAAATCTAAGTCGAAACTTAGCTAGGGTAATTGATACAAATATTTCAGATATATATGTTTTTCTTCTCCAGCTCTGGAGGTAAAGTATGCATTTCTCCCTGCCATCCTTAAAATTGTTGTGGTTGAGCCCATTGTTACAGTCACTGTGTCCATTTTGTTGAGGAGCATCCTTTTTTTTCACTGCCCTTCTGTTATAGAGAAAACATTTTACTCTCTTTATAATACGAGGGTGCTTCAACAAGTTTGTAGAACTAAAATATTGATTCCTCTCACATTACCCTTCTCTAAGATAAAGATTTTCCACATGCTAACCACATAGTTTAAAGAAATACAGTTATCATGTACTCTTCTGCTTAAAAACCTTTGAGGGCTCTCCATTGTTATAGTTCTATATCACAAATAATGCCATGTCACTGAGTCACTAGAGAAGCTTAAAAGAAAATGGGAAAAAAATGTTTCTGAGGCTCCAGTGAATCGATGGGGCCCCTAGAATAAGAAAATAAATCTCCGTAGATTTTGATGCCTCTGCTAATCTGTAGCAGAGGATCCTTGGTAGCACAGAGGGTTAAATCTTAGATTGCTAAAGGCCAGCAATTTGTCTCCACCAGTTGCCCCACAGGAGAAAAATGAAGCAGTCTGCCTCTATAAAGACTTACAGCCTTGGAAACCCTATGAAACAGTTCTGCTCTGTCTTGCATGGTTGGGTGGGGTCGAACAAGTTTTGGTTGGTGTTCCAACAAGCATTTAGGAACCACTGTCTTGGAAGATAAAGTTCATATTTCTTGGCATAAGATTCAAGTACATTTCATAAGTCAGCTATCAGTCACTGTCACTTTATTGTCTCTCGTCCTCCTCCAGGTATCCTGCTCTTTAAAAACTACACCGAACTATAAGATACTGAGTCTTTTGTTTCTTAACCCTAGAATGCCCTTTCCCTGCTCTACCACCTAATGGAGTCCCGTTCCTTTCTTTAGATCCAATTTCAGGCTTTGCTACTTCTACTTACATCCTTGCTCTCATAGCAACTTTAATGGTTTTCTCTTTATATGTTTTTATGTCTTTTTCATTTGTTGATGTATAATCTATATGTAATTTACCAGTTCAATGATATAATCTAATGATGTTTGACAAATGTGTACATTTTCATAACTTGCCAGAGTTTTATATATATATATATATTAGCCATTTCTATTTACTCAAAGTTTGCTCATGCCTTTTACAGACAGCCCCTTCCCTATACCCCAATGCTCTAGCAACCAGGGCTTTGTTACCATAATTTAAATTTTCCCATAATTGCATATAAATGGAATCATATGTAGTATTAAGTTAAAATGATGATGGGGGTGCGGGGCCAGCCCCCACCGCTACTACTACTCACGGGTTCAGTAAGCACAATTGTATGGTTGAGATATATAAGTTTTATATTAAAGTCATTGAGAACATGAGAGATATTACAGTAATGCAGTTAGACACATTACATGGTAGCACTTCTCACCTCAGCCCAGCTTGGTGGTCCACGTGGAGAGAGGGGGAAGGGAAGGAGGGTAAGGGAACAAAGGAGAGGACTGGAGAGGAGAGGGGGAAGAGAGGGGATCCAGCGAGAGGGGTCAGAGAGCTCTATATTGCTGACCCACGCCTATATACCTTTTGGGGCCATGCCAGCCCACTAACAGGTATAGACATGCGTCACAGGGAGGGGTTGTACTATAGGTTACATAGTAATGAGAGATGTTGGTCTCTGGGTCTCCATAGGAACCATTATCAGTAGGGTGAAAACTCCGCCTACAGGAGGCTGTCAGTTGTCCCCAGACGCAGGGAGCAGGCCTACCCCTGTGGTGGGAAGAGACAGCAGTCTGGCAACTGATTGCCCTCAGGGGAGGGAATGCCTGCGCATCTCACCGCCCCTCATAATCATACAGCATATAGATTTTGTGCCTGCTTCTTTTATGTCACATCAAGTTTTTGAGATTCATTATTGTGATTGTAGTAGTATGTTCGTTTTTATTTCTGAGTTCTGGTTTTTTTTCTGGATATACTACAATATACTTTGGATATTTTCATTATTTTCAGTTAATTTGGCTATTATGAATAAACCCTGGTATGAACATAAATGTATTCGTCTTTGTGTGGACAGTATTTTCATTTTGCTTGGGTAAATACAAAGGAATGGGATTTATATTGTAAGCAATGTTTAAAAATTCTGCTTTCTATAGTAGCTCTAATATTTTGTAATCTCGCCAACTATGTGTGATAATTCCTATTTAGTATATTCTGTTAGAACTCTTTAAAGGTGCGGACCTTTTGATTGTTACACCATTGCGTTGAATTTGCATGTGCTTAATAAATAAATGTTATTGAGATTGAATAGATTTATAAACAAGTTATCTTCTTGTGTTATCAAAATAAAAAATAACTTGTTGAATGAAAACATGAATTGGGTGATTTTTTTCCCATTTTTATTTGTCATCTTTTTTCATTTATAAAGAAAAAGAACAAAATCAAAACAATTATTCTCACTGAGGCATGCCCATTGTGGATCACTGATTCATTTAAATTTATATTCTAGAACATTTACTTATTAGCATTGTTTAACACATGTTTTATAGCTCAGAATCTCTTAACAATCTCAGTATGACAGTTTTAAAAGTAAATGTGGTTTTTATTTTACATGTTCTGGCTTCCTTTGAGACTATTGCAAAACTTATAATTTGTTTCACATTGTTAGTTTTATAGTCAACTATTTGGTTGAATTTTACTTCTATCTAATGTTTTCCTTGAAATGAATTTCATTTTTTATAGTTTACCCTATTCATTGGGAAACCTTCACTTAAAATTCTTGGCACTAGAAGGAAATCCTTTGAGAACAATTCGAAGAGAAATTATAAGTGTAAGTTTATTTAGAATTCAGCTCTTTGTTTTTAATTTGAAATTCAGACATTTATCTTGATCTTGGTGAATATGTGTCTATTTCTCCATCCTTCTAGAAAGGAACACAAGAAGTTCTAAAATATCTACGAAGCAAGATCAAAGGTACTTTTCTATTTTACTCCATATTTTGAAGGATAACATGAGCACTCATGAAATGCTTATTGTAAATAAGTTGAAATGTTCCTTTAAGTATAAATATTTAGAAGAAATACTCTGGAATATGGCTGTAATTCTGTAATTCATGACAGTAAGTATGCTCAGGTTACAAAACATTGTTAAACTCATAATGATAATATTCTATAATACCTGTAATTTGTGTCTAGTACACCAATTCAAAAATACACCCACTCCTATTTGGCATGGTTAAGTTCTAAATTTCAAGTGCTTAGATGAAAATCAGCATTACGTGAAAATGGAGGACGACCACAGAAAATCACAAAGTGGAGATGATTGTATCATTATGTGGGAGTCCTGGTGGCATAGTGGTTACGTGCTTTGCTGTGATTTGCGAGGTCAAAATTCAAAGCCACCAGAAGCTCTACAGCAGAAAGACAGGACGTTCTACTCTTTAAAGAGTTAACAGTGTCAGAAACTCACGGGGAGAGTTTACTCTGTCTTATCGGGTCATGAGTTGACATTGACTCAGTGGCCGTGAGCAAGATATCATTACATAACTGCCAAAATATCATTATTTAGCTGTCAAATCAAGGAAAATCATGGCCCAACCTGCTTGGTACATAGAATTTACCATCATAGCTAGCATCGTTATCTGTACCGCTTGTTTTTTGCTACTGCCAGGAGTATATTGTTAATGTGCAAAGTGGGTAGATATTTTTATTGTCATCGGTATGAAATATTGAATAACAAGATAGCCAATACATGAGGAATAAGTAAGTGTACATAATAACAGAGATTCAATAAGCATCTTATACTTCCACTTTGATTTTCTAAAAGAGCAAAATCTGACCTTTATGATAGAGGAAGAAGCTTCAGAACGGCTGTAGATAAATGAAATAAAAAGATAATGGAATTTTTCACAAACTTTTAAAATCCCTTCATTATATGTTTGGTTGACTGGGTAACGTAAAAACAGGTATTTGTAACAGCTGTGCATGTATAACTTTGCTAAGCTCTAGCAAAAAATACAGATGAAGCACATTATCAGGATATGCTTTAGCTAATTTAGTATATAATTATACTATAAATTTAATTTTAATACTTTATTAAAAGTTTGTTTTCTCCTAGTTTTTATGTCTATTATTTTGTATAAACTAAAGCTTGAAGAAAAAGATAAATTGTACCAGTGCATAAAGGGGACAACAAAACTTGTGAAAAGATGGAATTAAAAGATAATGGAATTTTTCCAGGTAGTTTTTGAAGTCCCCTTGTGTCGCTGCTAAAAAGCTACTATAAAATTCCCATGGTCAGCAGTTGGACTGAATCTAATAGGCAGGTATTCTGGTCTGGGCTAGACGTAGCTGAAGCTTACTGATACAAGGGGCTTCAAAAAGTTTGTGGGAAAACTCCATTATCTTTTTTCTTTAAATCATTTTATTAGGAGCTCATACTATTCTTATCACAATCCACACATACATCCATTGTGTCAAGCATATTTGTACATTTGTGGCCATCATCATTCTTAAAACATTTGCTTTCTACTTGAGCCCTGGTCTGTTATCTTTTAAGTACACGTTTCTATAAACTTTCTGTAACCACCTCATGCATTTGCAGTCATGTAGTGTTGGTGGCTTCATTCACGTTTCTGACAGTCAGACTAGCTGTCAACTTGATTGCTGAGACACTGTAGCCTATTCCTCTGTAGTGGCTGTAGAGTCCACAGTGCAGCATGAAAGAGGGCAAATATCAATGTGGAATTGCTATCATGTCATATCTGCTACTGTCTCATTGGCCAACGTAAATCACAAGATCAGCCCAGAGTCAGCATGGGAGAGCAGGGTGGAAGAAAAATGAACAGTATTTTATTTTTGTTATTTTTTTTAAAGATAAATTGTTAGGTACTTTTAGTTCATTTTTAAAATTATTACCTTGTAGCAAGTTACTGCCTTTATTCAGTACTTAAAATGCCCACACATTCTATTGTGGTTAGTACTTCCTTGCCAAAATATACTGCCTTATTTTGGGCATTTAGTAAATGCTTATTGATTAGTTGATTTGATGAATTGAAGGGTAGATGGATATTGCTTTAGCTTCCAAGGGAGTTAATTTCTTTTCAGTTGAAGAAATTCAATCCAAAACAGGCCTTTTATTTGCCTTATTTCACTGGTCTACATTTTTATTAGTTTTTTTAAATTGAAATTTAATGTTAATAATATTCCATATGCATAGTCTCCTTTTAATACTATAAGACACTTACTGTACTGGTATGGAATACTATCATTCTCTTTTTTATTATGAAACTTTGGAGGGAGTGCGTTTTATGGTGGTAAAATGCATGCTATCAACTTTCTGTGGAGCTTAATAATGTAGTGCCCAGGCCACACTTTAGGCCAATTAAATTAGAATTTCTGGCAGTTTGGGCATAAGCCTTTCAACAACAGGGTAGAATTGGGTCTAATTGCCTTTAAATCTAGAGCTCTGCAGACAAAGTTAGACCACCTTATTGCTGTGCTCTTTTCAGCTTTCCTTGTTGCTCTTAAGATTTTTAAATCTTAAGCTACAAGCGGGGACCTGACAACCATAATGGATTATTTATCTGGGGATACTGAATAATCCAGAAACATGAAATTACTTATAATTTTAAAATAATTTTAGAATATTTGAAATTTATTAAGAAAGTTGTCTATGATAACTCTTGTCTGTGATTCTTCAAATATATAAACTTACACTTTTGCGTAAAAGAAAAATCTTCGCTTTAAAAGGGTACTCATTTTTGGATTGGTGTAGGAGAATACATCCTGCTGAAACAACAGGACAACATTCCAGATTTCTGTGGTGCTCAGAGTTTGTGCCTGATTTCTAGATAGTCAAGAGACCATTAGGAAAAAGCTTCCAATAACTGGTATGGATTACTCCATAAACATCTCACCCTTTTCTCAGATCCTAAAAATAATACATGGAAAGTAGCTATTATTATTTATAAAAATCACAGTTTGTAACAGTTAAAGCTTGTCTGCGTAGAAATGATGGCTTTTCCTTGTATACCCCAATTTTATGTCATTTGAAAGGGTCTTAAATGGAAACCTATTTCCTGCCAGTCTTTCCCTGGCAAGGGAGAACCACTTGCCTGGACTGTAAAGTGTATGCTGTGGATGCTATGCCTACACCACAGCTGAAGACACTCAGAAAACGGCCTCTCCCAGCTATTTTATTGATGACCCTAAATGATTATTATAATACTTTTAACCCTGCTAATAAATATTCATGCCCTCATAATTCTTGAGGAGAGCAGGGGATGGTTTAGCCTATTATTGTATCTTTTAAACTTTTCTGGCAATCATTAAGCGTAGGGGTGGTACTTTGTTTTGAGACCTAAAGATGCTAGCAAAGAAAGGAACCATGAGAATCATGGCTGTCTGCCTTGTCCAAAGGATTTATTCTTCTCAAATGGATTAATTTATATCCTTCCTAGAGTCTGTGCAGAAGTCCCAGTCCATCTGGGATGTAGATAAACTTTGAAACCAACAGCAGCTCGCCCAGATAAAGGGCTCTCTACCCCCTTAAACAGTTACAGTCTTGGGAACTCATAGGACCAGTTCTACCCTGTCCCATACTGGGTAAGAGTCAATATTGACTCACTGGCAGTGAGTGTTTTGGCTTTTTTCCTGTAAAGTATATTATTTATCCTTTGTGGGAAGGAGTAAAATAAATTTATGAAGTCCAATTATCCTACAAGTAAAATGAAAGCAAATATAATTTTCCATAATGATGCAACTGTTTTTTTTATATTGTTGAAGTCTTTTTTTTTTTGGTAAAGAAATCACAAAGCCACTTCTTTTAAATGTATTTTTTTTTCCTGTTTTCTTTTTTATACCATATGATGGCAGTATTAAACAGTCTCTGGAAGTTAGTGAGGGGTTTAATAGTGGTGAATCTGAGTATTTAGAAATTTTAGCAAAGTATTTATTGAAAATAAATTTCTACATTTGATCTTTTTTTTCATAAAAGATCTGGCACTTGTTTTCTTTTTTATCATTTTATTTGGAGCTCATACAACTTGTATCACAATCCATCCATCCATCCATTGTGTCAAGCACATTTGTACATCTGTTGCTGTCATCATTTTCAAAACATTTTCTTTCTACTTGAGCCCTTGGTATTGGCTCTTCATTTTCCCCCTCCCCTCCCCCGGCCTCCCTCCCTCCCTCATGAACCCTTGACAATTTATAAATTATTATTTTTTTTTTTTCATGTCTTACACTGACTGATGTCTCCCTTCACTTGCATTTCTGTTGTCTGTCCCCCTAGGAGGGAGTTATATGTTGATCATTGTGATCAGTTCCCCCTTTTCCCCCTCACCTTCCCCTTCCCCTGCTGGTATCACTACTCTCATTATTGGCCCTGAGGGGTTTATCTGTCCTGGATTCCCTGTGTTTCCAGCTTTTATCTGTACCTGTGTACATGCTTTGGTCTAGCTGATTTGTAAGATAGAAATGGGGTCATGATCGTGGGGGGCAGGAAGCATTAAAGAACTAGAGGAAAGTTGTATGTTTCATTGTTACTATACTGCAACCTGACTGACTCATCTCTTCCTTGTGACCCTTCTGTGAGGGGATGTCAATTGTCAACAGATGGGCTTTGGGTCTCTACTCCGCACTCCCTCTCATTTATGTTGATATGATTTTTTGTTCTGAGTCTTTGATATCTGATACCTGATCCTGTCAACACCTCATGATCACACAGGCTGGTGTGCTTCTTCCATGTGGGCTTTGTTGCTTCTGAGCTAGATGGCCGCTTGTTTATCTGTAAGCCTTTAAGACTCCAGATGCTATATCTTTTGATAGCCGGGTACCATCAGCTTTCTTCACCCCAATTGCTTATGCACACATTTTGTCTTCAGTGATCGTGTTTGGAAGGTGAGCATCACAGAATGCCTGCTTATTAGAACAAAGCCTTCTTGCGTTGAGGGAGTACTTGAGTAGAGGCCCAATATCCGTCTGCTACCTTAATACTTAACACATAAGTATATGTACATAGATCTGTTTCCGTATCGCTGTATAAAAATATATTTGCCCTTGATCCAGCCCTACAAGGCCTCCCGCACCCTCCTTGACATTGATTTTGGATCACTTGTTGTTCCCTTGTGCCTGTGCTTGTTAAAACCCTCTTCCTTCCTTCCCCCTCCCCTACCCCCATGCTCCCCTGATCTGTCATCCCGTTGTTCTCTCTTCTGGCTTGTTTATGCTGGCTATCCCTTCCATGTAGACATGCTATGTACCATCACCAGACTGAGTGCAACGAGGCAACAACAGAAAGTAAAACAATGTCTACAACAACAATACACACATATGCATACATATATAACCGTATGAATAGTTCAGGGTCTGTTTGTTTTCTTTCACGTGTGCTTTCCAATCAAGTCTGATTGGGTGCCATGCCCCAGCGTCGCCTCTATCCCTGAGGACCTCACTGCTCTGCTCCCTCTGCTGCTCTGATGCATGCCTCCAGGGGCTGATGTTCGACGTGGTGAGCTCATGGTGGGCGCAATTCCCGCTGTTTGTCTCCAGTGCTGTCCCCAGTGGTGCAATGCTGTCCCCAGTGGTGCAATGCCTAAAACCCAAATGAAGGCAGAACATGATAGTGGGACAAGAGGAAAGTACAAAGAAACAGAGGAAAGAACTAGGA